CAGTGGAGAAGGGGTGGGGGAGGGGCGTTGGTAAAAAGAGGACGAGGAGCAGGAATAGAAGCCGGTGGTGGAGGAGGATGAGTGGGAGAGGAACCCCGATCGACTTACTCTGATGGCATTGGACAGCTCTGCACAAGTTGGACGGCGTCGGTGGGGTCCCCCCGCACCAAGCGGACAAGAGCCCCTAAGTACTTGGTCACCGCACCACCAGGGGCTATAGAACAAGAACTCAGGGATTGCCCCGGGCGGAGGCAGGAAGAGGCAGCGGAGGGGACCCAGAGGGGTATGAATCGAGAGCCGGGCTGCCCCTCACCTAGTTGTTTCCGCAAATTCGTTAAGGGGATGTTTCTGCAGAGAAACGCATTTCGACCACCATCTGGGCAACGCGCAGCCTTCACTTTTCCTCCGGTTAAAAAAAAAAGGGAAAAAAAAGTGCTGTTTCAGGAGGTTTCTGAAGTCAATGTTCAAACCGCACCAACATCGAGAGAGACTTCTGTCTTTTCATTCCTCCTCCCTTCCCCTTGCCCCGGTGTGTTCTCCTCTTTGGGGGACAGTGCGGTGTCTTCTCCCAAAGGAGGGAGCCGGCTTCTCAGCGGTTCGCAGTGTCAGTCCCTGGACTTTCAGACCATGCTGCTCTGTCCGGCGGGTCCGGTCCCCGGCGCAGCCCGCATGCCTCTAGGTTTCCTAGCCTCACCGGAGCGGAGAGCGAGCGGGCTGAGGTCCCGGCCACTGAGATCCTTCAGCACATTCTCCCCCCCTCGCCCCGCGGACGCTGCTGTTCCTCGCCCCCGGCTCTATCCTAACACAGGATCCCGACAGACAAACTCTTGCGAGAGTAATTCACAAACGAGGGTCCAACTTACAAACTTCCAGCAAATTGCACCGAGTCGGGTCCGGCCACTTGGCTGCCCACTTTTGTACATTCCATCCCGGCTGGCGGATCTGAGGGTCTGGACTCGCAGGAAGCAATGTGCTTCTCTCTCTCGGGTATTGCTCCGCTTTATCGGTGGAAGAAGGAAGAAAAAAAAAAGTAGCTTGTATTTTCCTTTCTCTTTCCCGTCTGTTGTTGGCCGCTGGGCTGACACTGGCTCCGCTGCCCGGAGTCACGGCGATACACAGGCTTTCATTGTGCTCCGATAGCAGAGGCAGAGAAAGAGAGTGAG